ACCCACACGCACACGCACACGCACACGCACACGCACACCCACACGCACACGCACACGCACACGCACACGCACACGCACACGCACACGCACACGCACACGCACATGCACACACGCAAGTATCCTTGGGTTTTCGGCACGAGCTGAGGCAGGAGCCCCTGCCGGGGCAGATGCGGTACGGTGAGCATACCGACTACACAGGCGCGGGCTGACAGTGATGTCCTGGGTGACACTTGTCTTCGAGATTCAATGCAGTCTGGTCTTTTGTTATTGATCTTCTTCTATTTCTTCTGTTCAGGCAGTGTGCGAACCTTTTTCGAGCATCATGTTAGAGAGAGCCACAGAAAGAAATATGATTCGGAGTCAAGACATCTTCAAGTCACCCGCGGATGCACGCACAACGGCGCAGGCTTTGCCATTTTTTGTGTGGAGAACGGGGCGAATGCGTGGGATTTGTGATCCTTGATCGGGGTTGGACATTCACCTCCACTCGAAGGAGTGGGCAAGCAAAACAGCCAAGCAAACACAGCAGCGCGAGCGTATCGAACGCGGCAAACACCTGCCCGTTTCTGCCCGTTTTGTAAGTGCAGTCAGCTGTTTGCATCAGACAAGCTCGCATGCAACCAAGGGAATAGGGTAGCTTAAAGACGAAGAATAAGGTGAGGAGACAGAGGGGTTCAAAATGGTGACTCTCCGGAACTGCATTGAAGCTGCAGGAGGTCACGAGTACAATTTATTTTTGTGTCTGACAGTGTTCACCTCTCGTGAACGCTATCAAATCGAACAGCCCTTGCTTGTGTCTTGCCTCAACATCCAGGGTGAGCCGGAGGGAGGGCATTATGGGTGCCAGCAGTTGCCGGGGATGCCGATCTTCTCCTTCATCTCAGAACTTTCGCTTCGGCCGCACCGGACGTACGCCTTCATTAGATTTCATGAGACGGAACGAGACCAAACAACATGAGAAGTGAGGAATTGTCGTTGGGGAGGCTTCACCTTCTTGTGGCAAGACCACAACGTGTCCGGCACTCGCCCCAGAGCAAGAGTTTGAATGCTGCCATGAGGCTTGATGGCTCAGCCGTGCTAGCAGCGAACGCTCCGCCGGACCGACTCACGAATTTTGGATGTGAGACTGTCTTCCAGCTGAGTTGTACCCAAGCATCCGAATACCAGTGTCGCAAGCCACTTGAAGATGAAGTATGGAAGCAAATAGCCTTCGCGCGCAACAGGAGATCTTTGCATTCCTCCGCATGTGCCGTCAATCTCTTTATATTTCGGCATAGAAGAGCGCGCGTGCGCGCCCCGGAAAAAGCATCCTGCAGAAAGCTGAGGGCCGCAAACTGCTATCAGCGGCCTGGAAGCACCTCCTGGTGGACTTCAGGCTCCAGGGACGTATCGGGGCCGCAAGGCTTGAGGAATGGTGTCCTCGGTCGACAGAGTCTGGATGAATGGGCGTCTCAACGAATCGCACTCCATACATACAGATGATGGGCTATGTTTGTTTAACGATGTGATTTCAAGTTATGAGCTTTGCCTGGGAATCGCAGGACTTGACACATGTAGTCATCGTATCCTGATTGAACCCGTTAAAGCCGGGATCGAAGTCGCAGCAGAGTTGCATTCAACCCCTCGCCCTCACCCACTGAACTGCTGTGCAAGAGCTGTCGCGGGAGGTCCGCATGCCTGATGGCTCCTGGGTAGACTGCCCCCCAAAGCTGGGTGCCTAGTACAGCCAGCGCGATGACTTCGAGACTGCTATTTGTAGGAGCTTTTCTCGAAGAGCTAGACAGTCTGGAGTGTTCCGGTACTCGTGACGAGGGATCTGCAGGAGAAGTTGGCTCGCTCTGCTGGTTTCGGGGAAGGCTCTGAGCAGAAAAGGCAGCAGGCTTACGTAGGAGGCGCGTAGGCATAGTCTCGCGCGGAACTTGAATTGGGCTCTTGTGTCCAAGGCCCAAAGCCTTTACTATCAATGCAGGCGACTTGATTCAGGCCTTGCTTTGGAGCGCAAGTTTCTGCAGTTCTTCGCAGGAAGCTGCAAGTAATTTAGAGTTTGTGCAGCTGTAAGCGAGGCGCGAGGCATTGAGTGTCAAAGACGCGCATGGTCTTGGGTTGGCACAGGCTTGGACCAATGATGTCTTCCTGTCCAACTACCACCGCGTTGTGAATCCTCCTCCTGGGGCCGACAGCTTACCGAGCGGCGCCATGAACGCTCTTCAAGCTGAATCGCGCCTCGCACCACTGAGGACCGACATGATCGAATCAGCATTGTCTACTTCACAGGGCCCACCAACGATACCATGGTAGAGCCCTTGCTCTTCCCCTAGCTTGGAGTTGGCGGATCAACGGCAGGGTTGTTAGGTCACTGGAATCTGGCAGCTGCAGGGCGGCGATGACAGTAAGCTTTTTCACCAGTTTCGACAGCGTGCCAGCTGAGGCCAACGTGTGTCGGCCCAGACAGACCGGCAAGGCCTGTGAGAAGCACTTTCGATGGCTTTGGCACTTTAGCCTCTTGTATTTTCAGAAAGTGGCTACTGCCCTCACTTCAATCATCACGCTGCCAGGTACTCTGCCATTTCCGCAGGTGAACACCTGAACAAGAAGTTGAAGGTGTCAAATGCCTGAGTATGTAGGGACGAGGGCAGCCCGGAAGGTGAAATCGAAGGTGGATGAATACTATGTTTATCAGGAGGCTGCACTGGACCAGCGGATCAGGGCCCTTTGCCTTGGGCCACAGCAGCCCAGCAGCGTACTCGTAGCAATTGCTGTTGCGCGTGCTTTGTTGTCTGGCGGGCACGCGAGACCCCACGATGGCAAAGCTGGCAGACTTTGGTGCCGACCGGCTCCCAGTATTGCTTTTGTAGCCGTGCCTTCTTGCATGGCAGCCTGGTCCTCCAGCTTCAGCCGTGGGCATTTTCGGGCAATTGACCGTTGGGTCATGCTCTGAGTGTGGTGCGTGTGTGGGAAAACTGCTCTTTGCTGCTGTGCGCCGGCAGCCGGGTCATCCTGGCGGTAGAAATTCGTTGCATACGTGGAGCCTTAGGCCTTGGCGTGCCCTTGTGTTGCTGATCTGAGCTGCAGGTCGGATTAGGAAAATTGGAGACCCCAGGGTTGCACAAAGATTCGACGGCGCTACTGCGCTTTCCCTCCCAGCCCGAGGTACGTCCAAATGCCAACGTGGAGTATAGACGGTATGGATGTTTGTTTAAATCCAGCTTCCTCTAACTCTACTCAGCCAGAACATGACTCGAGAGAGACGGCCTGAACAAACTTCCGACTGCGTGGAGAGGCAAAACGGATCGAATCAAGGCTGCTAATGTATATGCTAGTCCTCCATTGAAAAGCTCGGCTTCGAGCAGTCCCTTGTCCGCATGGCATGGCGGCAAGGCTGCGGCTTTCCCCGCACTACGGTGCACTGTCCAGGCCTGGAAGTGCAAGGATTGAGGCCCTGGGGCCGAAGGAGTGACCTTCAGCGGGGTTCCAGTGTTCTCGGACCGCCCTGAACTTTCGCGAACACCTTGACTAGACTCACAGAGGCGAATTCCTCGGAATTGATCGTGGGCAGGCTAGCAGCCGGTGAGGGCGATCCATCAAAGCTGAGCCAGAGACTTGCAAGAGACCCGCCATGGACACGTCACTTAGTGCGTAGAGCCTTGATGCTTCAAAAGGGCTGATCAGATGTATGATGTAGGCGTTTCTGTCCACTTCTCTCAGCCAAAGTTGCACTCACAAGCTGAGACCAGGAGGTGAGTTGAGGTTGTGAGACCACGTCGATGTTTTGGAGTTTTCACCCTCTCAGGTCTAGACGTGGATGCCAAGGCTTGGTAGGGGTTGCGTCAGTTGTGTCGAGCAAGCCAGGTAGACAGCTACAAGTGTGCAGCAGCGGCACATCAGTTGCTGTTTCGTGCATGCTCGTGACAGTGGCCGACAGCTGCGCTGCGTGTGCCGCTCGCCATATGGTGTCGGCTCCACGCGAGGAGTGCGAAGAGATCGCTGCCATTTGTCGGCACCTGGACCTGAAGATCGAGGCCTGAACTCCATGCGCGGGGCCGTGCCGCGTAGATTTGAGGAAGCGTGGACAATGCTGGAGGGCGTCAGAGAGTCATTGTTGCATCGTGTTCAGGTGCTTCCCGCGCCTCCTGGCAGCGCTGCTTCGAAACGGGTCACCGCCATTCGTGCAGCCGACCCATTCGAGGAGGCCGCAAGGGTTGTCAACGTGGTGAAGAGGTTTGTTCACCCACGGTGTCGTCGTGTTTGCATTTCCATTCAGCCGTCCACTGTGCACTATGCTGTGAATCTCCCTTTTTTTGTGGTTTCCTCCTTTCAGGCAGAAGCAGAGGTGAAGGTGGAGCCACGCCCGGCAGCCGTCAGCGGAAAGGTAGGGCCGCGTGGTTTTGAGGAAATCGCATCTGCTTCGTCCTGTTGGGGAGGTTCGCCTGGAGGAGCGCTTCGGGCGGAAACCGCCAAAGCCAGCGGTAGAGGCCCGGATTACGGGTTTCTGTGCCGACGGCTCAAGGAAGGCAAAGGATGTGGAGGTCTGCATGCTGCATGCTGCAGAGATATGGTTTCTGACAGCTTGTTTTCTCCGAGCGATTCAGATGAAGGAACATCAGCCGTGATCCTAAGCACGACTGCCACTCCTAGGCCGAGACGCTTTTAGAGAAGAGCCAGCTGCCAAAGCTGACCGACTTCTATCGGGCGGTGGTGGATGCCTATCCAGGCTCTTGGGGAGGGCTGCCCGCTGCTGTGACATGCGTGAGCTTCAGCCACATGCTGGCAGTCAAGGCTCCGGTCAAGACCAGAGAGTCACTCCCGGTTGACAAAGTCCCGGAAAACAGCCCGCACACCCACACATGCAGACACAACCACACACCCACAAACCGCACACCCACATACTCACACACCCAGAAACCACACACCCACACACTCACCCTTTGATTTGTTGCTTTTGTCTTTGTCTAGTCTACAGGACTAGAGGCTTCATACTACTTTTTGCAAATCTTTACTTCATCACACATGTCAGACATGTAACTGCTCATCAAACAACATGACTGCATGCTGACTCCAGCAGTGCCTCAGAACCCGTTTTCCAAGGACGAAAGGAGGTACAGATGCCTAAGCTACGATCCGACGTCCATGACGCATGGGTTACTTTTCGCAGGCACAGCAAACTGCGTCGAGTTTCCCTTCCAGTAATTTCCCATACCTTCGTTGGCACGGCTACGGAATGACCGCCACGCCCCCTGCTCTTACAGGGGCAATTGTCATTGGAACGGACACAGACCCAGAACCGAAGACCAGCACTCTGGATCTGGGGCCAGGATTTGTTCCGACTTTACATTCATATTGCAGCCGACAGAAGCTTTCAACATTTTGGCATTTATGGATGCTAAATTCTGCTGCTGTGCTGCAGGCTTCCACGTGCCACTGGCGAAGCTTCTGACACAGAACCTTCGAGCTGCGGGGGTCTCCGGGTGCCTTGGTTCGCATCGCTGATGTCACGATGAAAGCCCGCCACCTGTTGACGAGGCTCACTTCGTCCTCCAGCGACTCAGACTCTGAGGACCTGGGACCACTGGTGTAGCAGCGACATACAGTTCTCTGAAAGCTTTAGTACCTGCCAACGACATGCAACATCGACATCTCAGTGTAGCTACTACAGAATTGTTGATGTTCTGGATGTTTGGTTCGCTGGTCATGGCACCACATCGCTGCTTCAGGAGAAGAAGAAGAAAAAGTCTCTCGCCTGCGATCTCAAGAGAATGTCCCACATCCTTGCATGTCTTCCCTGGATTGGGAGCAGCATGGTATCTAAACGCAGCATCATGATCTATGTGACTATGTGGCATGGCTTGTTCCAGGAAGAAGAAGAAAAAGCTGAAGAAGGACGGGGAGTTCGACTACAGCAGTGCTTATTCTGATAGCTGAAGTTGAAGCCATCGCCCCTGAATTTTCAGATTCCGTCCAGGCTTCGGAACGCCTTTGAGATGACATGATCTCTGCCGTCTCCTTGCGCCTCCCAACCGAGGAGGCCAAGAAGGCCGAGAAGCGCAGAGCGAAGGAGAAGGCAGAGGAGGCAGAGGAGGACACGAACAGCGACGAGGACACGGGCGATGCTGGGATCGTGTTTTGGTGGCCCACGAGTCGAAGCCTCCGTCTTGAACGGAGCTGATCCCTTTGCGTCGTACAGCTTTTGAGCTCAATGAGAGAGAGAGGGGGGCTGTATGTGGCGAGGGGCACGGCAAAGCCAAGAAAGCAAAAGGCCGCGTTGCTGGCAACCGACATGCACGGGCGTGTGGCATTCTGGTTAGCGGGAGCATGCCTCGAATCTGCTTGAAGCGGCCCCTGCTTTGAACTCTCCAGTCAGTTTACTTGAAGCATTTGGCTTGGAGATTCTATCCAAGGCCCTGTCAAGGTCGTCGATGTCAAGACTTGCACGGCAGAGGAGGCACTACACCAGCTTAATGCGCGGATGGGAGTGCGCAGTTTTTCTGCTGCCAGGTGGATGACGAACTTCAGAAAGAGCTGGAGTTCGAGAAGAGTAGGCCGGCTGGACTGCAGTATGCCCCCTTTTAACGTACTACCGAATCCTGACCAATCCGCTGGCGCATGACCATACCCCCCAACTCACCCACTGCAAGCATGATTTTACTTCTACCGCCCTCTCTTTTTTTCATTGGCCCGTTGTGACTACATTCGTCTGTCTATGCTATGTTGTTCTCGCACATCTTTGTCTTATCTGCATGTTTTAAAGTGCCTTTCTACCGCCTGCTTCACAGCCCTCTCCGTCTCTGGTGAGTCTCTCCTGGTATAGCCTAACTTGAACATGTCTCCTTCTTTCTGCAACAACTTAATCTCAGCCAGATGCTGTAGTTCTAGTTGAACAGCCGGCCTATACAGTCATCCGTGCTTCTTCCTCCACCACAGGTTCTAATTGGAATACACATGCCCCCGATGAGGACCACATCTGATTCATCTGCAACAACCATTGCTCTTTGTAGTACATGGCTTTCTCTGTGAATTTTCGTGCAAACCTTGTGTTTGCAGTATGTCAAGGCAGTCTTATCATGACGTTATTTCCCGATACAGTCACTAGCGTTGTTGGTGCTCTTTTTAGTTCCTTTCCCAGTACGGCAGAGGGCCTCTGTTCCAATTGAAAATACATCAACTTGATGTGCCTTTACTCCTTACAGTGCCCACACAGAATCAGAATGAAACTGATAGCAGTTCCGAAGTGAACGTCACCAAATCTTCAACGATCTTCAGCAGTGATGTCCCAAAACGGTTAGTTTGCAGTTTTTGGAGGCATATGCACATTCACGGACTCCTCCGCAGTGTTTCCAGGATTAGGGTTTGGGTTTGGGGATCAGGGTTTAAAGTTTAGGGATTAGGGCTACGGCTAGGGATTCTTGGGTTAAAGCTCCGAAACCCACGCCCAAACTGAGAGCCCTGTTGATTTGCAGCTGCAGAATTCCATACACTGTCATAGCCTTCAGTTGTGCTGGACTTCATGCCCTTGCATCGTTATTTACCTGCTATTTACAAAACATCGCGACCTTGTCAAACCTGAGTGTGCGAGGCATCCATACAAAACTCATAGCAGAGCCGTGTAAGTAAACACCATTTGCCGGAGTCCCCGACCCTAAACCTTCGACCCAGCAAAACTTCAATCGCACATCGCAAGCATAGCAGGACCGGTATGGTGACACTAGGCTTGCTGGAGTCTAGGTCTAGAGAGGTGGGTTGAAGCATTTCACCTGCCCTGCGCTGAGGCCGAGACCTCAGCAATGACGCGCTCTTGACAGCTTTGACGACACACTGCTCCTGCATTGTGAGCTGCAAAAGATTGTCGCTCTTTACCTCGCGCAACGGTAGGCTGAATCGTCGAGTTTCAATTGTACATGGTGCTGGTGTCGCACATGTGCCGGAGTTGGTCGGAATTTGTCCGTGTGAGCAGTGCCGTCTCACAGGCAGAGCCCATTTCAACATTCACTTCTTCTTGATGGACATGTGCATTTGCTACACTACAGAACTGCATGCGAAGAGCAGAGGCATCTGCAATTCTAGTCATATCTCAACCAGGTTTTCACACCTCAGGAGCCCAGCCGACTCAAACCTGGGCTGGTGTCCTGGATATTGTGAATTCGTGTGAGTGATGGCCTCGTGTCCGTGAATGCAGCCTGAGACTCAGGCCGGTCATGCAAGTTGATGCGTCCCCAAGCAATTCCGCATTTCACTGGTTGCAAGGTGAAAGTGCGTCCCAGACAGACATGAGCTCGCCCTGCCATGACCACTCTTCCTTGGCTATTGCGGGTCATCAACCGGAGATCATGCAGGACTTCTTGTTAATCGTGGCTGTGTCGGGTCCCTTCCTCTCCCTTCAAGCCCAGCAGAAGAATAAGAAAGAGTGCGAGAGCGTCTCAGAGCAGACATTGTGGGGTGTGTTTTCTCGCATGTAGGCTTTGCTGTTTCAACATTTACCTTCAGTGCTGGAGCAACAACGTTTTTGCTGCAAGGAACATTGCCAGCATGGCGACCCTGCGGCACCTAAGAGAAAGAGACGGAAAACCACGAGCCACCCGGAGGCTGCGGGTGGATGTGCATGTGTGGATGAACGGGAATACATGTGGGTGACTGTGCAGTTCATTTGGGGTGTTGAAGGAATGGTTTAATCTTGTAGATGATTGCGATATCATGCTAGAGGTAGTGATCGCTTCACTCGGAAGTCTAGCCGACCGAAAGGAGCCTCAGCGTCTCCGCGCCTGCCTTGCGGGCATTACGCTGGCAGGCATGTGGGTAGAAAGAGGCTTCTGCACAGCATGGCCGAGCCTCGCATGCTAGGCCTGTGGCCCAAGCTGACGTGCCTTCCTGTGCCTGGGCAAAGGACAAGGAAGGTTTCCGAGCAGTGATTGGTCAATACGAACGACATGCTGCTGGCTACTATTGCCGTTGTTTTCCTTGCTAGGAGCATGTGGTCCTCCTGTCCCTGTAACAGAGCATCTTAAGATCAAGCCGGAGAGCTCCATGTCACATGCTGCATGCGCAGACCGTTACACCGTTCGGCGAAGTGCCGAGCTCCGCAGAAGCGCTTTGCCCATTTCATCCCCACATCGGCTTTCTGCGTCCGCAACTCCGAGTCGCCGAGCTCAGCGGAGTGTCGGTGACGGAGTGTCGGGATGTGTCGGGTGGAGCGCAAGAACCACACGGAATGCACGTGGCGGTCATAGGCACACCTCCCAAGCCTCTGTGTTTGCAAACGGCTGTGGGCGCGGATAAGTGGATAATGCCAAACTGCACGCGAAAAGTCGAAACCTACGCCTGCTTGCGTACTTAGACTGCCTCAGAAGCCAGTACTAGTATCAGCAGAGTACATGCACAGAGGCAGCGTTGCATGTCCAAGGCAGTTCAGCCAGCGTCAGGAGGTTAACGGCCGCGACAATGCAAATCCGAGCACATGAGCACATCTGGATCCCCGCACCCAACTAATGTAAAACGCGGGGGGGTGCTCTTTCGGGGGGTCTTTGAAATCCCCAGGGAATAATGTAAAACGGGGGGGTCGGATTGACAGTCTGACGAAAGCATGCCCTGCATGCAATATGCATGTCCGCATTGCAATTTAAATTTGCAGTCGAGGCAGCATGCACGAGGCTGG